CTCATGTGGTACTTGTACATCGGTGATCCAATGCGTTTTGTCTTTCATAAAATAAGGTACGTCTGGCACCCCTAGAATATTTGACTATAAAGTACGGCCGAGGTCTCGCATGTTTCTATTTACACCAATAAAAAATATTTATCGTTTGTTTCATGATTCCATAAAATCTAAAAGCCAGGCCATGATACAGCAGTAAAGTCCAGACAATACATTTCACACTACTTAGAAGCTGCCATGTATTCATATATGATGTTTAACAATATTTTTGATTAAACCGATTGGTTCCATTTCTCATCCAAAATGCTAAGTGGTACTATTGAAAGCCTTTACGGTTTGTTGTCATAATTGCAGAGGGGCATTCGGCCATTAGCTGACTGTATTCATAATATAAATAAACGGGAGGAGATGCTTTTTTGAATTTTCATCCTACAAGGGCATAAATTCTCCGCGCAGATGCTAGCAAAGTTTTTAACCATTGGACTACCCTATGCACTATAATTCCAGGTGCAAAATACAGGAAGTTTAAAACTCAATTAGTTATTGTGGAACGAACTGCTTCAGTCCATACAAAATACAGCAAAAAACATTGCAAGTTTGCAAAAATTCCCACAAACCTTGAATGCATCATTATGAACAATATGTATAAAAAAGCCCTCATGAGTCCTTGGAGCGGAACCTTGTTTTATTTGGGTTGAAATGACATAAATATTACGTTTTAACATATTCCTCTAGAAGGAAACGGGATGCCACAAAAGTACCTGGTTCAAAAATTGTTTAAGGAAAGTTGTTTAAGTACTTCCATTTCTTGAGTCGCCGTTTATGAGATTTACTGATCTGTGGACTTTCAGATACTCTTCACTCTATATGAACATATACCTATGTGGGAGCATTGAAGTATGCAACTTATACTAAAATACATACCACAGGGTGTGTAAAAAAAGTGTCAGTGATTCTCCTAAAAACTCATTCCATGGGCAACACAGAACAATTGAAGGCGAAAAGCGTGAAAACCCAAAAAAAGGTAATACTATTCATCTGTAAAATGAACGGAAGGGAAGTCGTATTTTCGGAAAAAGGTCTTCAATATGTTATTGCAATTAATATATCAAAAGTCCTCATCGATCCTTGGAATGCAACATCTTCTATTGGAGGTTACATGTCAAAGTTACCATTTTCTTCATGTTTCTCTGGAACGGTACGAGTTACCACAAAAATAGCTAATTCCAAAATTGTACAGTTCACAGTCGTACGTGGTAGACGGTCTCTGACTGTCGAACGCGGAGGTACCACCCGGCGGATCTTGTAGGCGGAGCCAGAATGTGTGCAGCTTGCATGCACACGTGTTTCCTCGCCAGAGTCCGTGTGGCGTCCCCCCTTTCCGCTGTATCCCTCTATAATTCCACGGTACCCCATGGGTGTTTAAGCCTTAGGCCTTCGTGGTAGTTGAAGAATAAAAAAAAGTTGTTTTTTTTCAGTCGGTGTTTATGCGTTTTTTGATTTATAGAATCTAATCTACTGCTCGGCGCGTACGCGGCATGTTTTATTGATATTGATCGTTTAATATGAACTGAGATATGAAAGCAGTGATATATGTGACACGTACTAATATATAAACATATCACTTATACATGGTGTTTAAAAGATATGCTAGTGGCTCCGAAAAAAAGTTGCAAAGTTTTACTGACTATACTATAATGATCTAAAACTGTAATGACTCATCGATGTTCACGTGAACATCACTTAACTACCAGTAGTCGGCTGTTCATAGGCGGGGTATGAATGTTTAACATGGGTGAACTAGATTTGTCACATGCTTAATAAAGAGTGGTTTGAAATATATTGTCAAAAATTTGTGAATTACCTTTATTAATCGTCCCTTCCACTTACATCTGACAGTAATAAACTGTCGCTATCGCTTTCCTCGTTGAAATTGACTATAACTGGCTCTATGATGGTGTCGATGTGGTGGTCAAGCTGCCACATTTTTGTTTCTTCCTTCACAACATGACGGATAGCATTCTGCCAAGCATCGGGCGTTACTAGCTGTATGGAAGTCTCAAGTAAAACCTTAACGTCTGGTAATTTGAAGGTTGTGTTATGGCGCGCAATATAACCCTTCACTTGAGCCCAGATGAGCTCTATTGGGTTCAGTTCACAGTGGTAGGGCGGTAACCGCAGCACAGTGATACCACATTGACGGGCCATCTCATCAGTCACGTAACTAATGTTTGCAGGTTTGTGCTGTTTAATTTTTTCATACAATTCCGCTTTCACACATGAATCGTCAAACGGGATTCCTTTTTCGCGCAACCATTGCTGCATGTCACTTTTTCGAGGTCCCATAGTCGGTACACGTTCGGCTCGACGACTATGGTAGGAAGCATTATCCATGACGATCACAGAGTTGGGCTCAACTCGCTGAAGCACCCCTTGAAACCAGCTCTCGAAGCAGCTGGCATTCATTTCGTCATGGTAATCACCTCCTTTCTTAGAGACGAAAATCAAGTCACACTCTTCTAAAAAGCCACTATCGCTACCAATATGAGTTACGATCAATCTTTGACCTTTCCCTGACGGTCCACGAAGACCTGTTGACAAACCTTCAATGCTTGCTTGTCGGTAACTCACTACGTTTTTGTCTATCCAGGTTTTCTTAACTGTGTGACCTGCATTTACCCATGTCTCGTCCAAATAATAGATTTTTCTGCTTTGTCGCCTATATTCAATCATTTCGCGTAGGTATTTGCGACGCCAGGCGACTATTTCAGGTCTCTCTATCAATACTGACTTCCGATTACGCGTTTCGTAACGAAAATTAATTTCGTGCAGGGATTTCCTCATTACCTCGACGCTCATTTGGGGTATAATTTCATTTTCCTTGATCGCTGCATGTACAGCCTTGAGGGTTGGTAACTCATTCCTAAAGAAGAATGAATGTACGGTTCACCTTAACGCCATTTTGCTATCGTCATCCAATTTAACGGCCTTTCGTCCCTTCAAAATAAACTTTGGATCAGTAGTAGCTCCAGTTTTCTTCTTTTCATGCACCACCCTGCGAATGGTCCACTCTGGAACGCCTGTCAAACTTTTACAACGCGCGAGTGCATTTCCCTGCGACATAGTTCTGTTCAGATAATTGAACACGTTGAGCACGATTTCTTTCGCGTCCCTCTTCAGTGCTTTACGAAGCCGTCTACTTGTTCCCTGGCTTTCAGTACTTCCACTCGTGCCATTTGTACTCTCCATGGTTAAGTATAACCAAAACAGTAACCGCAGAAACCACAACAATAACAATCACACAACAATTCTTATAAAAACACACAATATGCGATCGCTCAACGAAACACGTTCCAATGCGTTGCCGACGCCTATGAGTCTGCCGGTCGAGGCGCGTCTTTGATTTCATTGGTTCTACCGGCGGAGAACAATCAGCCATTATTTCCATCTCTGTCTGTGCTGTTGACCACCGCAAAGCCACAGAAACGACAGATGTCGTACGCTATACGGCTGTACTGGAAGGAAGCCGGGATCGAGCTCTGATCACGTGTTGATCACGCGTATGAGTCATTACAGTTTTAAATAGTTGTAGTATAGTCTGCTGTTCCAAGTAATATGCCATAGTTGATATTGATTTGTTTTCAGATATTCTTCAGGATTATTCTGCATCGTCCCTGTGGGTGTACAATTCAAAAATATTCGAGATTATACAGGGAGATCGACTAATGGTCTGGATAAAAGAATTTGCTTTTTTGATAGGTACCTATAGTTTTATTACACATTTGGGTATACCTGCAGAAACTTCTTAGTTTTGTCGAGTAGTTGCGTTGAGATTGAGATTACGTATTTTGCCTGAAAAGAACAGAAGTTAGGCAACCAGCACATTGCCCTCTTTAATATACAAAGTAGTGAACTTTCTGTATAGTCTTCAGTTGCTAATTTACCCCTATTTCTTGAATTGTTCGTTGCACTGAGTTGTCAAAAACACATAAGTTCATTCCTTGAGACCCTCAAATAGGGCTCCCTGTTTATTTTCACATTTTCAAGTCTCACGGTTTAAAAGTTGTTTTTAGATACCTAGACTAGTGTGTTTACATGACGAAATTAGAGAAATCCGTTTAGCCTTATATAGGAAATAATCTAGGCGTTTTGTAAATTAACCTACAATTTTACAAGACTATATTTTTCAATCCATCTGGCGAAATCGACTACTCCCGTTCGATATCTTCGTCAAATGAATCTGGAAAGTTAATTTCACTGGGCTATATCAGTTAATCGGCAAGACGAGATCGACTGCTCCTATTCGATAAATTTTGCTAAGCTAATTTCACTGGACTATTTCCGTTAATTCGCCTGACGATAGGTATAAACCACCCTTAGAGGTGTCGTATGGACTTAAGGAAATAGTCCGGAAATATTTTAATTTGCCTTCTTCTGTGGACCACTTCATCACTCTTTTCTTTTAATTTTTCTGATTTCCAATCAATGAAATTTATCATATTTACTTCATCACATTTGAGGATAACGAAAATAGACAGTTTTTAGATACTTAGACTAGTGTGTTTACATGACGAAATTAGAGAAATCCGTTTAGCCTTATATAGGAAATAATCTAGGCGTTTTGTAAATTAACCTACAATTTTACAATCCATCTGGCGAAATCGACTATTCCCGTTCGATTTCTTCGTCAAATGAATCTGGAAAGTTAATTTCACTGGGCTATATCAGTTAATCGGCAAAACGAGATCGACTACTCCTATTCGATAAATTTTACGAAGCTAATTTCACTGGACTATTTCCGATAATTCGCCTGACGATAGGTATAAACCACCCTTAGAGGTGTCGTATGGACTTAAGGAAATAGCCCGGAAACATTTTTATTTGCCTTCTTCTGTGGACCACTTCATCACTCTTTTCTTTCAATTTCTCTTATTTCCAATCAATTAAATTTATCATACTTACTTCATCAGATTTGAGGATAACGAAAATAGACAGATTTTTCACAACATTTATTAAAACACCTTCTTTCCTATCACTTTCTACTTTATATAAATCATTTACATAAGTAATAATTATTATCATAATATGGAACATAATATACAGTGTGTCAATAAGATATGGAACAAATCAATATTTCAAAAAATAATGCCTATACTAAACTGCTGGACGAAATAAAGTGGTAATAAAGCTTAGGTTTCACTGAAATGCGTAGCTAATTCTACGCGACTATAAAAATGCCATAATTATAAAAAGCCTTTATATACGTATAAGAAAAATGTATACCATAATCATTGAATCTGTAGGCACACAAGACAGTGCTATGCTTTCGTTCATTGTTTCACCTAAGACCAAGCCTAGACCACGATGACGAGTTGCCAAAAAGCACTAAACAACTGTCCATGGTTGACCGTCTGTGGTGTTTAGTTATGCATTTTTCATATTTTTCGTATATTGTATTATTTATTCACTGTCGACATAATATAATATACGATTTTAAAGGAGACCTGTGGTAACAAATATAAGGATCCTGATATTGATGATAAGACCAAATTTAAAACAGAATATATAGTATTGCATTTATCATCAATAATGAATTGATGTAATACGTTCACTGGGGTGAAAATAAAAGTGAAAAAAATAGCGATAGAATCACAAAATACGAGTATATACTGGGACGTTTTGAACATATTGCTAAAATTTTTAATGCTACTTTGAAAGGAGCAATCTCAAGAATTTCTTAAACAATGAAATGATAAGATCCATAGCAACATTAGGCGATGAGTCATGTCGATGGGCAGGAATTTTTTCCAAGAGGGGGGGGGGGGAGGGGGGTTAATTGTGTGCAGCACTCAGCATTTTATGAAAGTGTACCTGCTCCAAAACTTTTTGAAGAACTGGCGGTTGTAAAGTCCCAATTGTCTATAAAGTCGTGCTAAATGTACACATTTTAAAGTCCAACTGGTTTCTCCTGGGAGTCCGCGGACCTCCCTGGCACCCCTCTACGGACGCCCATGGCTTTAAGCAAAAATGTTTTCTGTCGTTTACTTGATAAAACTTGAAATGCTTTAGAGAATACGAGAGGCAACTATAGAAGCACCTTATAAAACAGGTAAAGCCACAATGCAAAGAGAGCTAGTACTTTAGCGGAAAATATATATTTATACATCTAGCGGGTTAAGTGGGCGGTTATGACCCGCGACGTAAAATCGGTCAAAAATGAAAAGCGCCGAGGGTTTTAAAATGTTAACGAACATAAACGCTTCTTACGCCCGGAACACCTGCAACGTTTTCGCCTATACTTTTTTCCCAAAAACCCCTCAAAATCCTATTCAAATGGAAACCCACAAAAAAGCTGTTAACGAGACCTATCCTCTCACAAAAATCATCCTGATTTCTTTCTTTCGTCATTTAACTAGTAGTGTCAGTATTATTATTATGTATTCTGTATAAGAATGATTAAGCACATGTACATTAATGTCGAACAATAAGCCGAAATCAAACAAGATCTGGCCAAAGAACATTAGCATAGATGAATGTTTATCTAGTCCAGCAATTTTCCACGGCATATAGTAACTGGTATATTGTGTATAAAGTTCAATATATAAATAGAAATACTTATAAATAAAAATACAAGTACATCAATCGAGCTGGATGGTACAATATTGAATTGCCACCTTATCATAAGAGTTATGTAAACGGAATCAAAATGTTTATACATATTTCTACTTACGCTAATACAATTAATACTCGATTGATCCAAAATATGACTCTACAATGTTGTTTAGAAATAGTGTCAGTTATGGTATTATTTAATAAATTATCCTGTAAATATTCTTACGTATAATCTCGCTTCAATATAACCATATAAAGGAGTGATCGACTGCTGGAGCCACCAGAAAATCACATTATCAAGTTTACTAAGTACTTCAAACGTGGCAACAGAACTAAATTCAGAGACCTGTTAGTTCTTAGATATTTTTTATATATCAAGAAACTAACAAACTTTACTTAAGTATTGCATTTTTCTGCATGGCTCTAAGACGATCTTATATTATTGACTCTATGGTTCCAATGTTTAAACATCCTCTTGCACGCCAATGTTTGATATATCTTCAAGTATTTAACAACCCTGGAACGATATTGATTCTTCAACACACATACCATTTTCAGGTAGCAATACAAATGTAGTCTCACTCTTTAAAAGACAGAATGCTCTACATGTTTTATCGTTCCGATTATATACAGGGTGTTCTGAAAGTTGATCCTTTCCTCTTCAGGAATAGCCAAGTTGTAATGATGAAGCTAATGTGCGGTGAGAGAAAGAGAAGAAAAAAACGAAAAAAGTACTCACCGATCATTTGATAAGAAATTTCAAGTACTGATGCTCATAAATACTGTACAAGGTATCAACGGTGTTGCAAATCGATTGTAATACAGACGTTTGTGCTCAAAGTTTGCCTGGTGACAATCTAAACGTTTCTTTAAACGGTCTGTAAGCCTAGCTCTTTGTACGAGATAAACAACGATATGCGGTGCAGGATGGAAACATTAAAAAAAATGATAAGACACTCGCGTCGCAACAACAGGATCTTAAAAATTCTCGCCTTTATTAACAATTTAGTTATTGCTATAGAGGTTTGGTTTAGCTACACGACGTGTCAAATACTCACACGTACCATGTCTTCTAACTTCATCATTAGCTGTATTGCATTGTCGGATTCGGCTAAGATTTTTTGGAACCTAACATATCGGCCAGAAAAACACGGCGATTTGGCGTATATGTTATGAGTAAAGCCCTAACTTTTCGAACACCCTGTATAGAGCAGCAAAAGAATTGCCAGAACAAATGTGTATTCTCTATAAATTGAATGAATCCTTGCACTTTCAGTATCATAATTGCGAGCATCATAAACCAAAATAAAAACTCAAGAGCTCTAGCTTTTCACATTTTCTGCTGTTAAAAGGAGGTTAATATAAAAAAATAACATGCACATTTATGAACAAAATTTGTGGACAAAGTCCTTCTTACGTCCATGGCTAAAACATGTTAAGAATTAAAAACTCCATATTATCTAAATCTACTGTACACTTATATCACTTAATTAAGGACATTGGTCCCGTTCATTACAACATAGCGCTGTTACAGCGATACTTTATTTTCTGCTAATCACTTTGAGCGGCACCAGTGCGGCCGCTATTTTCCTTCCCACGCCTACTGGCGAATAAGTATTGTAATCGCAAAAAATTTCGATATTGAGACGTTATGTTTTTTGGATGTTATATGACATGTAGATCACGAAAAACCATGTCACTCATTTCCGTCTGTTTATCTGCTTACCTTGACTCCTTGATAACTTGCAAAGTACAGCTCGGATTTTGATGAAAAACTGAAATTGTAGCATTAATGCTAAAAAAATCAACAAACAAACCATTTTCGGAAAAATTTGGTAGTGGTTAAAAATTTGGGGTTAGGGGTTGCAGGGGGTGGGTATATCTCAATTTTTTGACATTGGTATATGTTTACGCCTTCAATCTCACTAATTCTAGGCACCTATCAACCATATTTCCATCATCATGTCCCCTTAAATTTACCCGTAAAACTTATCTCCAACAGACGCGTGTCAATGCATGCGACGTGGTCCTCCGATGGACAAGCGTCTTACGTCACAGTCGACAATCGCTTCCGTACTGCTGTGGGCTGTGTGAAAAGTGCATGGTAAAGGAATGCAGAAATTTCTCTCAGAGGAAGGTCATTTATATTTGTTATACCAAACATAATCCTTTACGACTTACTTGACGCCAATTTATTTTCCATCATAACCAAAATATGCTCCGCTCTTGATCAAGTGATACATCAGATGCTATTTTCTTGGGTTCAGTGTTTTAAGTTTGTTTTGCCCGTTTTGGAATAAGCGTAGATATCTTGTTAAAATAAAGTTGATATAAAAAATTATGATAGAAAATTTCAAAACATGAATTAATGAATCGTGAAATTAGTAGCATGCCGGCCACCGTAAGGAGCCAGTACATAGGCCGCTTAAACTGGCCCTTATGCACCTCTACATTCCTTGGGCTTCAAGCCTCGCCTTTCTAGCGAAGTTGAGTATGGCCTTGAGTCCAAACTCCTTGACGTCCAGCAATGGACCCCTATAGTAGCTTAGAGCTTCACAGTGACACAGAACGTGCGTCGAGGTCTCTTCCTCTTCCCCGCAGCGCTCACACAAGGGATCCTCAGCCACCCCCATCACCTGCAGGTGGCGCCTTAACGTGTTATGGCCAGACAACAGTCCCACAAGCAACCATAGGTTGGCTCTATCCAGAGATAAGCAGAACATTTTTTTGCTAGTATCTTTTTGGCAACAGTGTTTTTGACAGATGACGCGTGAATCGTGCCTTGCGTCATTGTCAAACTTGTTCAGTTTGGTCTATAATTTAACCATGAATCGACTTACGAACGAACAATGCTTGCAAATTATTGAATTTTACTATCAAAATTCATGCTCGGTTAAGAGAGTGCATCGAGCACTGCTTCCAATTTATGGGCAATTTGGTCGGCCTACTGAGGAAGCTATTCGAAAGCTTGTGACTAAATTTCGAACCCAGTTTACATTATTGGACATTAAACCACCAACACGCAGACGTAGAGTGAGGACTGAGGAAAATATTGCGGCTGTATCCGCCAGTGTTAGTGATGACCGTGAAATGTCGATTCGCCGCCGTTCGCAGCAATTGGGCCTCTGTTACTCCACTACGTGGAAAATTTTGCGACAGGATTTGGGTGTAAAACCTTATAAGATACAGCTGGTGCAAGAATTGAAGCCACACGACCTCCCACAATGTTTCAAATTTGGTGAATGGGCGCTGGCAAAGTTGGAGGAAGATCCACATTTTTATCGAAAAATTGTGTTCATCGACGAAGCTCATTTCTGGTTGAATGGGTACCTTATTAAGCAAAATTGCCACATCTGGAGTGAAGACTAGCCAGAAGCATTGCAAGAGCCACCAATGCATCCCGAAAAAAATCACTGTTTGGTGTGGATTATGGGCCGGTGGCATCATCGGGCCGTACTTCTTCAAAGACGACAATGGCCGGAACGTAACTGTGAATGGCGAGCGCTACCGTGCGATGATAACAAACTTGTTTTTGCCCAAAGTGGCAGAGCTGGACTTGGCTGACATGTGGTTTCAACAAGACGGTGCTACATGCCACACCGCACACGAAACAATGGCCCTATTGAGAGGCGAGTTCGGTGAACAGTTTATCTCACGTTTGGGGCCCGTCAATTGGCCGCCTAGATCGTGTGATTTAACGCCGTTGGACTATTTCTTGTGGGGCCATGTTAAGGCTAATGTCTAAAGGGATAAACCAGCAACGATTGGCGCACTGGAAGCCAATATTGAAGCATTTATTCGTGAGATACCGACCGATATGTTGGAGAGAGTGTGCCAAAATTGGACCTTTAAACATTAAATTATATCGACCGTTCTATCGACTCAAATAAAGATTTAATCGTTTTTTCAAATTCTTTGTGTTTTTTTTTTGAAAATCAAATCACCCGTTACAATGAGTTCCCATGCCCGACGGAGATGTCTGGAGTTACATCTCCATTTTTGAGAGTGTTCTCTTGCAATCCACATCTCCATTTTCCTTCTAAATGTGGCTCAGGACCAAGGAGCATGCTGGCTGAGCGTCCGCCGTCTCATTGCCCCTCATCCCCGCGTGCCCCGGTACCCACATTAACGATACCGGATGTCTCGCTGCGAGATAAACTTGCAATACAAGGCTCGAAGTAATCTTACAGGCACTTAGTGCCTTCATTGCAGCCTGGCTGTCGGATAAGATTGTTATTCTTCTCCTACACCCACCCTCCTCTAGAATGCAAGATACACAAGCCAGAATTGCAAAGATTTCCGCCTGGAAAATAGTGGTGCATCCACCAAGAGGCAGAGATAGCCTAGTTCTAGGCCCAGAGACCCCAGCGCCAGAGCCCTCTTCGGTGACCGAGCCGTCCGTGTACCAGACCCTCCCACTCACTCCGAAGAATCTCCGGCTACCGGCGTTCCACTCCTCCCTCGTTGGATACTCCACATTAAACTTGCGGTTAGTGCGATATTTAAGGGGTAATGAGATCACCCCTGCTTAAGATCGGGATCCTCCCTTTGCAGTTCGACTAAGATGGCAGTATGTCCCTTGACAGGATTCAAGAAGCCCCAGCTGGCTAGGAGTTCCAGCAGAGCTTCCTTAAGTTGATATAGAAAATTTCAAAACTGATGAACAATCAGGGAGAAATGGGAGGAAGGAACGAAACCATAACTAACGAGTATAAAGCAACTTCTGCTCAGCTACTGAATTGCCAGAGCCTCATTTCATGCTACAAAATCGGAAACTTTGGTTTAAATCTCAACCTATAACATGTTTGATCGTCTACTTATTTTAGATTCGAAAGCTGACAAACGACAAGCCCAGTGACATATATCAAAATACCGTTCAGCAGTTAGATAGCTTCTTCTGACAAGCACTCTAAGTGATCGCCACAGGAGCGCTACGTTCTGATGAACAGGACATTTATAAACATCATATCTGATCCCAACTGATAAACTTGAGCATATCTGTCGCACTTGTGTGTTGTTGAGAATACTATCAGTGATAGTGACAGTTCATACAAAATAAGATGCTGCGTTGCTGCCTAATCAAATAGTTTTAGGTTCCAATCATTTTGAATTTTTGCAAATACTTCTCAGGAGACATTCATTTTATAGTTTTTTATTTCTCACGAAGCAAAACGTATACTTCTAAAATTGCTACACAAGTCCATATGAGGCTAATTTCAGAACTCTTAGGCCTTGCTATAGCATCTGCGGCAAAGATCATTGACTTCGGAGCATTTTCATAGGCGAATCAAAATTCTGTTTACGCGGAAACAGTTTCGACGATTGACTTTTTTATTATCTCTCCAAAGTTTTCTTCGCATTCTTCCGTGTTCTCACTGGTGCTCGCATTCACACTGGTACCACTATTTGTCAGATTTCCGTTAAACTTATCTTGCCTATCTCCAGGATTGGCATTACAGTTCGCTGTCGACGACGACTCAAGGTTTGTGAAACTGGTGCTTTCGGTTTCGTAATTGGGATAAATGTACCTGCAAAGAATATGATCACGTGAGTACTAGTGGCATTCTTATAAATCACTTTTAAATACTATCAGATGCATCAAAACAGAAAATGAAAAAAAATCGTTCGTTTTATTGAGTTTAACACAATTTTACTGATATTGTTCGTGCCAACGTGGGTTTGCGTAATAGCTCGTGAGCTCACGTATTATTTAGATTTTAGAATTCTCGAATCAGCTATGAAAAACTCATTATCTGTCAACAAGAATTATGTTACACTGATACATGTTTTCTTGTACAACCATTAACCTTATACAGGGTGTCCCAGAAGTCGACGTCAAGCCGAAACCGGGTGATAGGCAAAGTCATAACAGCTATCAGAAAAAAAAATTATGTATGTGTTTTGAAAATTATAGGTCTTTGAAAAAGATATAGAAATTTCACACCCTACGGCAGTCTGTCAACTCCTGTTACTACAAATATTAACTTTTTTTGGATTTTATTTTTACAATGTAATGATGAATAATGCATCTTCAAACTGGTGTCTCAACCTTACTGCCAACTTTTCTCGTTCAGGAAAAATTGCCACTTATTTCCCAACCAAGTATTCCAAAGTAAAACTTTGCTCAACTTTAACTGACTGTACTGGAAAAAAATGTACTACGAGAGTTTGGCAAGTAACCTTAAAAGTTGGCGCATTTAATAACGATTCCAAAATGGTATAACACTTAGAAGATTACTCGTTAACTTATGCACAATTTTTATTTGAAGAAAAACTGATGAAAATTCTTCTTCTTCTTAAAAAAGATTGGGTTATTAAACGAGCGAATCCACGGTTATTAACAAACTCAGCTGCTTCCAATAGTCTTTGCCGTAGCTCAGCTACATTTTGAATCGGCTTGAAATACACTTTTTCTTTTACAGTTCCCCAGTAAAAAAATCTAAAGGATTCAAATCAGGTGATCGGGCTGGCCACGGTATTGTACCAGACCGCCTTATCCATCTGCCTGGAAAGTTTTGATCGAGATACTCTCTCACTAGTGCGCTGGGCAGTCATCATGCTGAAACCACATGTCCCTGTAAATACTCAGTGGCACGTCCACCAATAAATTTTGTACATGATTTTTCAAAAAATCCAAATAAACTTCAGCAGTCAAAGTCTCTGGGAACGGACCGATTATTTTACCATTTAAAATTCCTGTCCAATGGTTTATCTTGAAGCGATATTGAGATTCATCTTCTCTCATCAAATGTGGGTTTGCTACGTGCCACTCGTGTAAGTTATGCAGGTTCATGTACCCATCTTTCTTAAATGTGGTCTCATCCGACCATAAAATTTTTTCAAAGAACTGTGGATCTTTCCTGTGTCTTTCTAACATTGTGCGACAAAAAGCAACTCGGGGCTCATAATCCCGGGGCAGGAGAGGTTGAACACGCTGTATGAGAGAAGATAAATCTCAATATCGCTTCAAGATAAACCATTGGACAGGAATTTTAAATGGTAAAATAATCGGTCCGTTTGAGTTCCCAGAGACTTTGACTGCTGAGGTTTATTTAGGTTTTTTGCAAAATCATTTAGAAAATTTATTAGAGGACGTGCCACTGAGTATTTACAGTATGCACTCTCAGTGAGAGAGTATCTCGATCAAAACTTTCCAGGCAGATGGATAGGGCGGACTGGTACAATACCGTGGCCAGCCCGGTCACCAGATTTGAATCCGTTAGATTTTTTTTACTGGGGAACTGTAAAAGAAAAAGTGTATTTCAAGCCGATTCAAAATGTAGCTGAGCTACGGCAAAGACTATTGGAAGCAGCTGAGTTTGTTAATAACCGTGGATTCGCTCGTTTAATAACCCGATCTTTTTTAAGAAGATGTCGAGCGTGTTTGCGGCTGAAGGAAAACAGTTTGAGCATTTGCTGTAAAGGTAAATCATCATCAGCAGCATTTTGACGCCCACTGTTGTGCAAACAGTTATCCTTAAGGGTCCTTGTGCGTTTTCATAATCGCTGTTTAATTAGGAAATTTTGAAAAATTTTCATCAGTTTTTTTTCAAATAAAAATTGTTCATAAGTTAACGAGTAATCTTCTAAGTGTTATACCATTTTGGAATCCTTATTAAATGCGCCAACTTTTAAGGTTACTTGCCAAACTCTCGTAGTACATTTTTTTCCAGTACAGCCAGTTAAAGTTGAGCAAAGTTTTACTTTGGAATACTTGGTTGGGAAATAAGTGGCAATTTTTCCTGAACGAGAAAAGTTGGCAGTAAGGTTGAGACACCAGTTTGAAGATGCATTATTCATCATTACATTGTAAAAATAAAATCCAAAAAAAGTTAATATTTGTAGTAACAGGAGTTGACAGACTGCCGTAGGGTGTGAAATTTCTATATCTAATTTTTTTAAATATTTTTCTGATAGCTGTTATGACTTTGCCTATCACCCGGTTTCGGCTTGACATCGACTTCTGGGACACCCTGTATATTTACTTAGTTTATTAATTTCATATTAATATACAGGGTGTTTGGCGTATCGTTTGCCAAATTGAAATGGCGGACAGAGGAGGTCTTTTTCTATCACCCCAGGTCCCTCAAACAGTTTTTAGCCCAACGGCATTAATTATGTAATTTTTTAATTTTTTTAGTAAGTACTCCAAAATGTAATACACAAAGTGAAATAAAAAAAATAAAAAGTGTGTCCACCTAAAGATTAATTTATCTTAATGGGTGATTTTGTACCAATCTTACAGTTTATCCCGATTCTAACTTCTACATAATTAATTCCGTTGGGCTAAAAACTGTTTGAGGGACCTGGGGTGATAGAAAAAGACCTTCTTTGTCCGCCATCTCAATTTGGCAAACGATGCACCAAACACCCTGTATATTTCAAAATTTTTGTGTACATTGTCTGCTGTTCTAAGATGAGGCTCTGTATATCTCCGCATTGTAGCGAGGCATATATTATATCTTCTGTCTTTATGCAATTGATTCTACTAATCTTGTTCAGGGACTGTATAAAACTGTATTAAAAATATCAGGCCCATTTTGTAGCAATCTGGATGTGTCTCCTCTTCAATTTTGTATACGTTTTTTATAATTGCTCAACAAATATTCTGTTCCGATATGAAACCACCACGATCAGATTGCTTACCTTCCATTCAACATATCTGTGAAACTTTCAAGCTTCCCATTACTCTGAACGGCGCATTCCCCAGACGAAAACCTCTCAGCATTAAAATGATGCTGCTGCTCGTAGGTGGCCTGTGGCTGGAACCCGTCGCCATCTAGCGGCTGTTGGGTGTACGCGTACGGACCGAACGCAGACGAAAACTCGCCGAAGTTTGCCGAATACGGCTGAGTCGCGTACTGGCCGGACGCCGATGGTGTTGGGTATGAGTTGAAAGTGTGGGGAAACCTGGAATCGAAAATAAATGTTTTTGATTGCAAATAACAAACAATAATAATAAGAAGAAAGTATTAGTAGTATTTTATTTGTGTTCTACATATAAATGTTCACACACGTCAAAGATGTTTTCACAAACAACAGAAAAATACAATACGTTTTGGATGATGTTATAAGTCTTTGAACTTGACAGAGAGAAATTCGCCGGAAAAGTAATGGGTGCGCCATCCATTCCTTTTTTTTACCTATAAGTTTATGTGTTACCATGTGAGTCAAAAGTCATGTGGTATGCATGAATGAACTGTTAAAGGTATGCCATTTATAGTCATGGACTCGTTTACATCACAACAATGCATTTTGATTATCCAAACTTATTACGAAAACGGTCGAAATATAAAAAATGCTTTCCGCAAAGTTCGCACTAGTTTTGTCCGACATGGACGACCTACAGAGCCTGGAATTCGTTGGATTGTTAATCGTTTTGAGGAAACTGGTTCAGCTGAAGGTCGTAGACCATACCACCATGCTCGTCCAGCTCGTACTCGTGAAAACATAGCCGCAGTGAGTGAAAGTGTTCGAGAAGATCCAACCACCTCGACTAGGCACCGTTAGCAACAATTGGGAATTAGTGAGAGCACTGTACGCCTGATTTGACACATTGATTTACCATGCATACAAAATCTAACTAACATAAGAATTGAAGCCGGCAGACCACCAACAGCGGCGTGTTTTTGTTAATTGGATGCTGGAAAGAGAAGACGGATTTTCGGCCAAAGTGCTCTTTTCTGATGAGGCTCATTTTCACCTCAATGGGCACGTAAATAAGCAAAGTTGCAGATTCTGAGGGGCTGAAAATCCACACCAATATCATGAACAACCTCTCCATCCTGAAAAAGTGACTGTTTGGTGCGGATTATGGGCTGGTGGCATCGTTGGACCATTCTTCTTTGAAGATGCCGAAGAAAAGGCCATTACCGACAACGGGGAACGTTATCGCGGCATGTTAACAGACTTTTTGTGGCCACAATTGGATCGTATTGGTGCCGACGATCTTTGGTTTCATCAAGACGGAGCAACGGCTCACACATCTCGCCAAACAATCGCCTTATTGCACACGAAATTTCAAGACCGCATAATTTCACGAAATTCAGATGTCAGTTGGACCCCGAGATCGTGCGATTTAACACCTCTTGACTACTTTCTTTGGGGATTTTTGAAAGGAAAAGTGTATGCAAATGGTCCCCGGACAATTCAAGACCTAAAGCGCAATATTCGGACTGAAATTGCGGCCATAGACCCGATTACTCTGGGAGAAGTCATTGAAAATTTTAATGTTCGGATGTTGGCCTGTAAACGAAGCCGCGGTGGTCACATGACTGATGTTATTTTTCATACATAAATGGCATAAACCAACATTCATTTATCAATAAAAAAATTCGATTTCACCTCGTAAAAAGCGTGTTGATTTTTCAAATAGAAAAAAAAGTAATAGATGACGCACACTGTAGAAGGCTTTACATAAACGGTACTTTCTAAGAGCACTCTTGAACTGTTCACCAGTCGATATCTTGAGCTTAAAACTTCATATAATGATGATTTCGGAAGTTGTAAATTGATTTAGTTCTGCCGAATCGTCAGCAAATAAACGTACAGAATCACAATTCTGTAAATCATTGATGTACAGCAAAAATAGGGTTGGCCCAAGTACAGAGCCTTGAGGCACTCTATACCTTAGCAACTGTTTATTTGAAAGATTTTCATTGCATGAAACATAAATCTGATACCTATCACTATAGTAGCTCTTCATTAGTTTTATGTAATTTGCATTGTAGCCGCAAGCAATCATCTTTTGTGTTAAATTTTCATGTGATACACAATCAAAAGCTTTGGTCAACGTAGTTACTATTTTACCATCCCCAAAGCCCCTGTTAATATACAGGAAAGTGGGAAAGTTCACATTTCAAATTTGAAATACTCGGCAACCGTATACGCGAGGAAGTGTGGAGAGGTCTTGATCGACGCGTTCGGCGTGCAGGTTAAATAGTCCACAATGGAACGTTGGACCGGAGCGCAACGTGCTTTTGCTATCGAGGCTTACTTTAACAGTGGTGATTCATACGCAGTAAGAACCTTTTGAAAAAGTGGATTAAGAGGTTCCGTGACTCTTGGTCAACCCATTCCTGGCTCCACACCTACTGTATCAACCGAAGAAAATGTGCGTCGAGTGATTCGGTCATTGCAAATCCTCGGCGATCTGTACTGAAGCATTCCGCTGCTTTGGGAATCCCTAGGTCAACACTGCATGGCATAATGAAGAAAAAATGGGGTTTCATCCTTATATAATGCAATCAGTCCATGCTTTAAAGGAAAGTGGTTACGTATTACGGAAATCTTGTGCTCAACGGATGTTGAATATTTTTTCTACGCAGCGCAGACTCGAGAACGTTGTTTTCGGTGACGATTAACGAGGCCCATTTTCAATTAGACGGTTATGTGAACAAGCAAAATTGCAGATATTGGACACCAACGAACCCAACAACAGCTACATAGTCCAAGGGTGACTGTTTGGTGATCCATATCCTGTAGCGGTATTATTGAGCCGTATTTCTTTGAAGATGAAAACGGTCATGCATTGACAGTCAATTCCGAGCGTTACAAGGACATGATTGACACTTTTTTTGCTCCTATTGCAAGATCAGAACGTCGATTTAACAGAAACACAAACGAGATAATTTAAAAAGAAAGACAAAATGCTATTTTTTTTTCTAAAAAGTGATAGTTTCCTCTCTAGAGAAAAATTCAGAGGCAGTCATATCAACCTGAGCAACATTTGCATTTTCACGCTTATTTTCATTGGTTATTACCCGTTTTACATTGATTGCAGTCTACGGGTTTCTCCATGAATTCAGTTCATGACCAAATTTCAAAAGTGTAAAACAGGAATTTGAAGTTAAATAAATCCATGAAGCTGCAGTTTTGTCTACCAATGAGAGCAGCATTTCGAGCATTTACGGAGGCATTAAAAACCCTTTATTTTTTAAATCAGCCCTTTTAAGGGCCACAACCTAATAGGAAATTCAATAAAAATTATTTTAAAAAAATAAAAAGTCAAGGGGGATTTCCGTATAACATTTTCTTTGGCCTAAATTTTAGGTTAGGAACAAGATATCGAGATGCGGTTTTCGCGAGCTTGTTTAGACATCATTTAGCTAGTTTTCCATAAAAAATCATACCAATGCTTACATTTTTTTTGATAAAATTAACCACTTCTGTTGGAATTTCGAAAGAAAGCCCTCTAGGGCCACATGTGAAGCTAACAGAACTTCAAATATTATAACATTTGTAGCCCAAGAATCGCTCTTTTCAACTAGCCCAAATTTGTTCAAATCGGCTCAGCGGTTTCGAAGATACAGAGTGTTTTTTACGGAAACCTTTGAATAACCTCACCACTTTATTTTCAGAGATACAACAGAAATTGGCAAACAAACAAAGTTCACATTATCCTCGACTTTAAAGATCAAGTATTTTTTTTTGTTAGATTAATATAGCGGAATTCACTTTTTTAGATTCAAGATTGCAGGAACTTGAATATATTTTCCAGGTTTTTCTCTTGTCTGTTTTAGTAGCAACTTTTATTGCCGCAAGCCTCTTAGTTGGCCACCCTGTACAAATGAACCTATTGTGTCATTTTATATTATTTGTGAGTAGATTGTTATGTATTTTACACTATACTGCTGTGTTTCAGATCCATTTTAACCTGTTTTTTAATTGCTTCTAGCCTACACTGCATTTGTACCTATTGTATATGTCATGGCCTTTCTCAATTTTGAACACTCCATAACGGTTAATTTCTCCAAAACAATACGTGAAGGATTGACAGATTACCTTGGATCTTGGACGAAGTGGAAGTTCTTCCTATGATCCGCATGGCCGTCATCTCCATAGCAATTCTCCCGAAAGGTATACAAGTCCAGGGAATCGGCCCTATCCGGCAGATTCGAGTACCCGGATTGGTGCTGGTGATGGTGTTGGTGATGATGATTGTGCTGATTGGTCGAATCACCACCGTTACTCGATACAGTTGCCGCGGCGTAGTTAATGTTGTCCATCGCGAAACTGGCACCACCTGGCACTAATCCACTACCACTAGTATCGCCATTCTGTACACAGCCGTATTTATTTACACCTACGCCTAGATTATTACTATCGTTATGGTCCGAGGGCATTGCGGCGCTGCTGTCTGTTATGGTCCAACCGGACGCCAAAGCGGCTCCAGCACTTGGGTCGCAGAACACACCTAAACAAAAACAAAAACATATAGTATTCGCTGGGTGCGTACGGACAGCTCCAACCAACGAGCAAAGTAGTGCTATAAGCTTTTGGTAAAAGAACCCTTCAGCCATAAAAGCTCTCTATTGTTGTTGCCTGAACACCAAAATGCTGGCTTAATGTTGTGTGGAATGCAAATTTGCTTTCTGCAACGTATTTGCTCTAAAATGAGGTGTTTAAAATATTCTTTAGCATAGTTATACAACACCTTATAGAACAAATTTTTAACTGTTGCATAAAAGTTTATACAACTATTTTATATGGCATATTTGCACGTTAGTCAAAATGATTGAGTTGTGGCATCCATGGTAACGTTTATAAAACAAACCCGAGCCTTGTTGTTTTGCTGTGCTAATTTACTACTTTAGCCAACAAGTTGCTCCCAATGGAAGTACTTATACAACTGTTGTTTAGTAACTGTTAAAGGCTGTACATATGCTAAATATGTTGGTATACAACTTCACCATAACCTAACTTTCTGCTGTCATATTTCTGTTAAAATGCCATAACCAATGATTTAAGACAAACAACGCATGCATATTGGTTCAAAAGGTTTTATCAACTGTTCAAACAGAAGATATAGATCTGGTACAAATTCTGGGTAAATCATTCGACTCTGTCGGTATTTCATTTCAGGCATCTGTCAAATTGTTGTATAACACCTGCAGGCAACACCAAAATATTCTAATAAACTGAAGACAACAGGGACGATGCCATGATTATACACAACCACCAGCCATATTGGGCAAACATTTATTCCTCTATTTAATATTAAATAATTATGTTTCAGTTCGAAATTACAGATATAAAGTGATAAACATTAGTGTAATTGTGTCTAAATATAGGATTTGTCGAAGATTTGACGCAGATAAGTTCAGTTTTCCATCTTAAAAATCTAGACATACTTTTGAGCCCGTAGAAATTGCGTAACTACTATGCACGGATAATCACAATAAAATTTGCTGCGCAAGTAAGTCAATAGCCCTATATCACAGTGTAGAAGTTTATCATATACCTGTGTATGAAATTCACAATGGCCGATATGTAAGTAAACAAGATGAGTGTAATGTGTTAGTTATATATTCTTCACTTCGTCTATGCAATACATAAGAAATAGTTTGGTTGCAATAAAGTAGAATCACGTAACAGAATAGTTGTATAGTTGACAAAAACTGAATCTTGCACTGACGCAAATGTCCTATAGCGGCTGCAAGAGGCGTACACTTTTGTTGTAATTATAACTGTTACCTGCAGCCCTTATACAACCTCTTAAATGACTGAAGTGTCCTATTAGGTGTGCCCATTCCGCTTGTATATCTGTTCTAAGAGGGTTTTGCCAATGTTCTTACAGTATACAATGCTGTGTAAGGAATACTGTATAACCATTCTTGCAACTCTATAGGAGTGATAATTGTTAGTTGGGTAGTAATGTGTTACTGAAATATTTGTGCTTGTATCATACAATACAAAAATAGACGAATATTACTGAATATAACAAACTTTTAAACTGATTTTTATGTAATTATGAACTAAAATAAGTGTTTATAAATCTTGCATGAGGAAGTAGTAAATTATGTTTATAACATATTTTGTCTCTAAAAAAAAGCAATATGTGTGTATTTTTAAATGTAGCAACATATGTCTACCTCTATTTCCAGACTAGATGAAACTTCATAAATATCAGTTCGGTCAGTCATACTTTATTTAGCTCAGCGAAGATGAGAGAACGTAAATTGAAATCTAGACTAACCATGCTCACCGCCGAGATGTTGTTGGTGGTCCTTTTTGTCTTGACGCATCTGTTCCCGTTCTTTCTCCAACTCCAAACGCATCAACGTATGGATGAAATGCGTCCGGACTCGCACAGGATTGAACTCGATTCGGCCACTAGAGTTGCCGCAGTTATCACGTGAACAACCACAAGGAAAGCTCAATCTGTCCACCTGTAATTAAAATGGTGATGTACAGTTCGCGAAAACACGGTTGAAATCGCTTCAAAATAAACTATCTCAAAATACTCTTCAAGGTCTTGTAGAGCAAGGGTTTAACATCAATTTAGATAGTTGGAGACCTCAGAAATTATATTTTTTAACCGAATTTTTAAGCATTGAATATACCCGCACCGTAACCCAGATCAATTTCTTTAATTTTTTTTAATAAATTACAATTTTTTAGCTTGTTCAATTTTTTTTCATTTTTTTTATCATTGCGAACAAAAAAGGTCTCCAATAACTTTAAAGCTGACCATTTTCGAGTTATAAGCCTTTGTTCATAATGTGTAATTGATGTGAATAAATTATTATTATTATTATTTTAGTATCTGAAAAGCTCTAAAAATGGGTATATTAAAAAATAAAATTCCTGGTTGGTGTAGATTACAACCAACAAGAGAGAAAATATGCCACAAACAAGAATATTTATGAAACGTGAAAAAGTTATTACACTTTACATTATTTTTCATTTCCAGTCATTTAAATTTTATAGAAATAATGTTTTGTATGTGATGCGTCTTTCCTAATTTTTCTGTGATGTGGCTTTGAAGGTAAATGACTATATTTATTTTTTTAAATTCCAAAATAAAATATAAATAACCCGTCTGACACAGCTAATAGATATATTTCATGGGCAGCATATTCAGTAACACTTTTCTCACATAGCAAACATCACTGATTTTTTACACATGCAGACCACTTCACACAATCACTACATTATCATCCAGATGCGATCTTGCTACTCTTCTACTCAACCGTTTTTTTTTTTCTGTCACAGGTAGACCCGACAGCCTATCTCGGATTATGCAACCAACAAAGCATGCTGGCGAAGTGACTTGTAGCATGGTCGTCGAGTCATTCCTCCATAGCTGACGCTCACAGCGAGCAAGAAGAACTATAGCAGCTGCTAGCAACTACAGTAGCGGACAAAAGTTTGGAAGAGAAAGAATATATTGTAACAATATTTTTAGACTTCAAAAGGGCATTTGAGGCTATAGATAGGAAAAAATTGTTAATGAAATTGCGTCACTATGGCTTTAAAGCATTACATCGTGAAGCCACTTGACATGTTTTCATGTTCTAAAAATTTTTAATCTGTTTTTAACTTGTTCTTGTCATACAGCTGTGTGTATTTTATATAATTTTGTCCATTGTACCATTTATCCAACTTTCACCATGTTACTGGGTGTTTCCCTCATCCTGAACGTAAACAACAATTAGCAACATCCTCACATACTACTCTCCTGATGATGATGGCAAAGACCATTGAAAGCTAGAGAGAATAAAAAAAGTATGAAGAGTCCTCCTTGCTTAAATTTTTGTCGAAGTACCCAACAAAAGGCGGAAGCTTTAATTTTTCACCTAACTGGTCTAGACGACAATGACCACGTCTAAAGTACAGGGTGGTCCATAAGTCCTTTGAAATTTCAAATTTGAATAAAATTTAACGGGTGAGCGTGAGCGGCGCGGGCGAGGTGGGGGCAGTATCTTCAGTGTCTGGGAATTCAGTCGCCATGGAGTGTTTCACTGGAGCGGATCGTGCTTTTTGTGTGCGCGCGTTTTATCAAAATAATGATTCGGCAACCATTGCGCGGCGTAAATATCGAGAATACCACAATTTTACAAAGTGTCCAACAGCTCAAACGATTAAGAACTGGGTTGCTAAGTTCGAAGAGACTGGTTCGACGTTAGATAAACAGCGGTGGGGTCGACCAAGGACAACTCGTATTGAAGAAAACATCAACATTGTGGCACAGTCTGTTCGTCAAAATCCTACCCAGTCTACTCGTAAGCGTTCCAGTGCACTAAACGTACCCAGAACATCTTTACAGCGGATTTTAAGGAAAGATTTACGTCTGCACGCTTACAAAATTCAGTTAGTGCAGGAATTAAAAGAGACTAAATTTTGCGAATGAAATGTTGAATCGATTTTCTTCGCTCAATAATGTGTTGTTCTCGGACGAGGCTCACTTCCATTTAAACGGGCATGTAAATAAACAAAATTGCCGTTATTGGAGCCCCGAAAATCCAAGGCGTAAGCATCAGAAGCCCTTACACAGCCCTAAAGTTACAGTTTGGGCTGCTATGTCAGCGCATGGCATCGTAGGCCCTTATTTTTTTGAGGACGACAGAGGTCGCGCATTAACTGTTACTTCGGAGCGGTATGTAGCAATGATAGAAGAGTTTTTGATACCAGCGTTGCAGAATTTTCCAGGCTATAATACGCAGACCTGGTTTCAACAGGACGGAGCAACTGCCCACACCTCCAACACTTCTATGCCCGTCGTCTGTCAACTTTTTCCCAGCAAAGTAATTTCTCGAAGAGGAGACATTTCCTGGCCACCACGTAGTCCAGATTTGACCCCAATGGACTTCTTTTTATGGGGCTACCTCAAGAGTAAAGTGTACGACACCACTTCGCGATCAGTTGATGTCCTGAAAGAAAATATCTGAAGAGAAATGGCAAGCATTACAGTGTTGACTTGCCGCGCAGTCATCGACAATTTTAGACGTCGTTTATATGAGTGCCGTGATCGTAATGGATTGCATTTAGACGATGTGATTTTTAAAACATAATTCCCATTCAATAAAGATGATAAACAAAATATAATAATTCTTCATAATGTAACTAGTTTGGTTTTATTCCTTTTTTCCAGCTCAAAGGACTTATGGGCCACCCTGTATATATATAGTATTCATAGTTAATTGCCTTAAATGTTAGGAGAAGATATCCTTTAATTTCTTTGGGTAGAAGGTAAAGTATTGCAAAAGTACACTCTTATAACTTAAAATCTCAAGCTTTCGAAGAATTTTTTCTTCATCGTCTGGAGTAAGTCGGCGAGATTGTTGCTGAAATTGTTTTTTAAACAACAGTGAAGGGAACACATAGTCGACGAATAAAAAACTGGATCGATGAGGTTCGATTAGGACGGAATTATTTTATTGTTAAACGGCAAATCATTTTGAAAGGTTTTATTTAAAATTAGGCTTTGATTGTTTTTGTAAATCTCCAAATTTCTTCCAAAAGGCAAAGGCAGACTTTAATATTTATATTATCTGTTCCTTCACAATTTTAATTTAGGTATATGAAATAGTTCATAATAATGTTAATATTTGTTTACAACTTTTGGCCGCTACTGTATCTAGTCAGAAAGTGGACATTTTCTCGGTTTGATTGCAACGTGACTCGTTCAAAAAACGCTTGAGAACTAATGACAGTTTTCCGGACCGCTTGCCAATTTCAATGTTCTACTCACCTGGCACTTGATCCCCGCTTGACTACACGAACATGTATCCGGATCGCAGTACCCCTTGCATCCGCACCCGCAGAACTCCCTGGACGTCCTGATATCCCGACACTCGTCCTTCTCGTACGAATCTATCTTCCTAACCCCGGCTGCCCTAAGGATGGCCCTGCGTTGCCTGGTAGGCACCGGTTGGAGGAAATAGTAGTTGTCAGGATCGGTCTCGCTCTCCGACACGTCGCTCAGCTCATCTTCGCTGTCACTGTCATCGCTCGAACAACCGCTCGGTTGGACGACAACGTTGGCAGGCGTGACATTACATGGTGTCGACGTCGTTGTACTGCACGACGTCACAGGTGTAGATGTAGTGGTAGGGTTCGGTGAACTACTGTCCGATCTGAAACGTGTAGTCATTACTTTCAATATTACGGACCTTTTTGATCAGAGATACAGATGGGTATCCTTATAACAAATAACTAAGAGATAAACATCGATCAACATGTTCAACCAGAAGTAGCAGTAGAAAGATTTATTTAGCACATTTGGCTACATAAACAGAATAATTGTAAACAACTTAGAATTAGTGAATTCAAGCCATATGATGTATGATGTAAATGCTGGGCAAGCTATAATTTTGTAGATTTAACAAGTGAATCCTCAATTTTACTTTAAATTTTGTCATAGTTT